GGCTGTCTCGTGTCGCGACTCTGATTAGAGGGTCTCTAGAGGAAATTAGAGACCCTCTAATCAGAATCGCGACACGAGGAACGGAGACTCTAGTTAGAGACACTCTTTTACGGTCTCTTTATATTAAAAGTCTCTATAGTTTCAGCAAAATCACAAGAGAGACGAATATGTTGTGTCTCTTTCTGATCTTCATAGTTCTTGTGTGAGTCATTCCGTAAGATACGTCTTTCTATAGTACGACTTTTAGAACATTATTAAAAATTATTGCAAAATGGTTGGGTGTGCAGCCCCATTTTGCAATAATTCTGCAGCCAAAGGCTACATAATGAAAATATTTCCGCGTGATGTTGAACGTCGAGCATTATGGGCGATAAATGTTGGAAAAAATGTGGGTTCAGGGAGGTGCTATTAACGCTATTTCTGTCATTCTATGCTTATTTTGGTTGGAAAAATTGATTCTTTACAAAATAGATTAATTTGCGAACGATTTTTAACGTATCGATACGCACATCGCCTATTCCTACAATGGCTACGTTCGAAAACGTTGCTCGGATGCCTCCGATGATTCGGATTTATCATCCGTCCTTGTTTAACGTTAAATGTTAAATGAGGACAGATGATGAATCCGAGGCATCCGAGCGACGTTCCCGAACGGAGCCAATATTGACATTCGAATATTGGCGGGAATTGCTGAAAAATGACGAACCAATCAAAATTGGCTGTTCTCGTGTCACGACTCTGACTAGAGGGTCTCTAATTTCCTCCTCTTTAACACGGAATTGACATTTCTATTTATATATGTTCTGTCGGTGTAATAGTATGCGGGGTCGAGCCCGTAACTCGCGATGCAACTGTTGCGGAAATTTTCAAAGACGTCGGCCAACAAAAATATATCTGTTTTTAGATACAGGTCGCTGTATTCGCCGAGCGTTTGGATGGAGAACCGCTGCCACACGTTGACAGCGTGCGCGTAATCACTCTCAGATACCGTGCTGTCAGTCAATGAGCTGTAAAATGACTCGCGAG